AAAAAAAAAAAAAAAAAAAAAAAAAAAAACGAGTTAAATAAGTGAATAATCAAAGCTGCTAGTGCCATCATTTATTATTCATTATCTTTTGTTAAATTGCACATTTACCCACATGACTTAAAGTGTAATATATAAAAACTTATAAAATTACATAGAGGTCCTTATTGTCTTTCTAATTCTCATAAAAATGCCCCACAACAACACTGTTAACAGCTTAGCCATTTCACAAGTCTTTATCATCATCTACGTCTTCCATGCCCGTCAACAATGCGGCGTCGCCGCCGCCGCACGGGGAGAAGATGAAGGCGCCGCATCGGGAGTGGCGGCAACCTTCATCAGCCCTACTTCGTTGATGGACGCCATGAACGACATGAGCTTGGTGGCCATAAATGCTTCTCAGTACCGCGCCGACGGCCGTGGCGTTGATTATGGTTGCCGCAATGGTGGTGGTTATGTCCGCGGTGGCGGCGACATCGGTAAAATCGGAGCTGCGACGGTGGTGGTTATGTCGTGACGGTTGAGGAACGACGGCGACATCTGAAAAGTTTTCCGGCGTGATGGTGTGTGCGGCTTTGTGACCGTTCATGTGTGTGGTGTGTGCAATGAGGGCGGCGACAACGAACGGCGGGCGGCGATTGGCGAGCGGTGGCTGTGTGTTTCCGGCGTGATCTGTGCGACGGGCGTCGTGTGTTTGTATTGTGTGTGTGAGTGTGTGTGTGAGAGAGTGTGGGGGTGGGGGGTGGGGTGGGGTAGTGTGGGTGGGGTGCCTGATTAAAATGGGGTAGTTGGCAGTGCACACGTGCCTTAATGTTAGTGGGGCCCTGATGTATTTATTTGGTTGATGTGAAGGAAATTACAACCTTACCCTTAATAAGGTATAATGTTAACTTTTTTGTTAGCCATTAGATTGGACAATTTAATGGACACGATTTATTCTTATTTCTTTCATTGAGAATCATTCTCACTGGAACCTAACCCTATATATATATATATATATGATTGGGTTTAAGTGAGAATGGTGCTCTAGGAAAGAAATAAGAATACATTTTGGTCATTAGATCAGATAATTTAATGGCTACAAAAATACCAAAATTATATCTTCATTAAGGATAATGTAGTAATTTTCACACCACACCAAACAAGTGGACCCAGACCACATTAATGAATCAGCCGTGCCAACCACCCACACACTATCCCATATCTCACACACACCAACACACACTACACACACCAACACGCACGCACAGACTTCACACACACACACAAACTTCACCCACACACACACACAGTCAGCCACCACCGGCGCCGCCGCACCGCCACCATCGCCGCCCACTCCCCCGCCCGCCGGAATCTCCACAGCTCCTCCAACATTCCGCCGGAGACCTCTTACTGCCGCCGACGACTCCGCCTCTTGCCTCGGCCCGAACAGGCTTCCACAGGACCACCACTTCAACGGCACCTCGCCAAAGCTCTTCTTCGTCACGCCGGCGATTTCCTTCCACCAGCACCAGATCTCGACCGCCCTAGCTATCTACAGCCCCTAGCCGGATACAGGTGCAGCTCCGGCCAGTCGCGGTCGATGGGAGGCCATAGTCGCCGGCGAGCCCGACTGGATCGATCGCACGGTTCCCTACGTTTGGCAGCCGGTTGTGGCCACATGGGCGTCTTCGGATTGCACCTCACGGCGGCATCGCGGTCGTGGTCGGCACAAATTCCAGAGCTCGTCGGCGATCCCGACATTAGCGGCGACAAATGAGATAGC